GTGATTTACAAGGAATGCGTTTTAAAAAAACGAAACAGGGTAGTGGAATGAAAACTTTTAACTTGAGTACTGCATTTTTATAATGTTGTGCGCAAGATGCTGCAAAGATGCAAGTGCAGCAGTCAAATGTGGAAAAGCAGCACAGTGGAATCCAAAAATGCATTTTGAAAGGATGGCAGCTTAAGGCCTGTTCACCTCACTGTGATAAATTTTACTTTTAATGATCGTTCTAACTCTATAAGAACAGGGAAGTCCACACCACAACTATATCGACAAAGGGCAGCAATGCTGTTGGAATCCCTTTCAGAAAGATTTTTTTTCCAGCTGATGAACAATAAAACTTTGACAACCAATCAGGATGCATCCTACTTTAAAGAGTTTGAGCTTTCAAAACAGCAGCTATGACATAAGTGCAGCATGTGTTATACGGAACGTTATTGTGCATTAGTTTAGTTGCTAATATACATCACTATAGTTATTTTTCTTGGTGTGAATGGGCCTTTAGTCTTCTCTATAGAGTTAAATAAGTAAAGTTCTTCATTTTCAGTATAAAGCTGTATAGGGATCATCTTAGATCTCTGTTAATGTTATTATGTTTATAGAGACAGAGGGAATGGGTGACGTGTTCATCTTCAGTAGGAGCAATGGTGCTTCTCTCAAAGGTGGTATGACCTCACTGTATTTGCGTGTGAATGTGTTCGTTATCCACTGCTGCAAGTTCTTCAAGCTCCTTAAGCTATAGAATCCAGAGTGAGAGAGATGTGAAGGCAGAGTTCAGGAGGTGGTGAAATATAGGATTTCAATATAGGATGCATGTATTCTGTACTGTGGTGCAATCACATATTTAAACATAAACAAATTAATAAACGTAATGCAATGCTTATTTCATAAATGAACCAGATATGAAAAGGTAAGATTTTTCCACTCAGAAACTCATGGAATAGTTTATTATTCACTATTTGCATTGATTTCATTTTATTTAAATAATCATTTTCAAAATGTATTTTCTGAAATTGCTTAGAAACAGCAAAAATCATTGCACAATTTTTTTGTATTTCTTCAGTTAAAAAGTATGAACATGGCTAAAATATGGCTAGCTGTGGTACAAGCAATATTCAATTTGTTATAAACGGAATTGAAAATATATTGGATTTATTCGCGATAAATATGGTTATTGTGCATTTAAAACACATTAAGTTTGTTAGTATATTACAGAAATCTTACCCGTTTCATTTATGTATGACTGACAGATATGCATCTGTAACACCCAGGCAGAGGAAGAGGACGGGGCAAGCCAAGCGGATCGAATAGCAGTGTAACTTTAAGAAACAAAACAATAGGGAGTAATCCAACAAGAGAAAACAGTGTGCAATGACAATATGTTTCCATCACGCTGTTTTTATGCACATTTGGAAGTATCGCATCAAGTGAAACGGAAAATTTCAAAGAAAAAAAAAAGTATGGGAATTAAGAAACGCTTTTTTTTTCAAATAAATGCTGATGTAATGAACATTAAACATGATAATCAGCTGTTTCCGCTGATGGTGTTTTCTTTTCTTTTGGTTACTAGCCTACTACTAGCTCACCAATACCACCATCAATTGCTCAAACAACTTGATGGAAACGCCTAATTCGCATTTGTGTCTTTTTTTATTTCCTTTTTTTGAGAACTTTGAAAAGATTCACTTCACATTTGGGATGGAAACCCAGCTAATGAGCAAACTGAACTGAGGGAAAATATACAGTGTGAACTCAATGAACAAAACAAGGATCAGGTGTGTGAAATCAGTCAAACAATGAATAACCATGACAACTAATGAAAACATACTAAGCAACCATGATGACCAAGGAAACACAGGAAACAATGAGAAGCAAACTAAAAGTCCATGAAAGTGAAACTGGAACAGTAACAGAATGTGACAGCGTCACATTAATTATTTTTTATACATTGTTTTGTTTATGTGAAAACTGTGTAAATGGATAGAACTTTTATATGCAATTCAAATACAGAAATCTCAGGCATAAATATTTATTTGAGTGTGCCCAACGCTGAAGAACCCTCTTACAAATACAGAGGCAAAAGCACAAAGCCTTATAGGTTTTTATTAGATCTCAGTAGGCCTAACCTCTCATCAGCTGAAACACAAGTGTGTTATTCTTTTCCTCAAAAAAAAAAAAAAGAATGAATGAGAAGACCGACGTCTGGCATCCAAAAATGTCTGCCCCTGGAGCAATTTCAGCACCATTCATGATATTTCTCGTGACATCATAGATTGCCACCTTTACCTGCTGTCAAGATAAAAGACACCGACTGGAATTCTTTCCACCAAACATTAAACTTAAGTGGCTTAATAACATATTATTTTCTCTTTATGCATAAAACCGGGACAAGAACACCTTGTGATGTTAATCACCACAGATCAGTGTTGTTGCTATGGTGCCTGATGTAACGCTGAAAAAATAGACAATTAACCCAAAGTTTATTTTGTAGTATTAATTTCTTAGCAAAATAGGTCATCGGGGGCATTCACAAATCACCAGCACCTGACAAAACCCCCTGCCTCTGGTTCACAGGTGCGTGAGTTTGTGTGATGGTAGAAGGTTGAATGATGCTCTGTCGCTGGAGGACAGATTGCTTTGACATGTGTAACCTCTGAAAATATGATGGAAAACATCAACCAGCCTCATTGCTCTCTATCTACTTCCTCTTCCCAGAATAATCATTCCTGTTTCTCTCCACCTCCATTTCTCATGACTCCTATCTGCTTATTCCTGTTAAAATCTCTCTTTCCCTGAATATCCCTCTTGGCCTCAGGAGGTGTTATGACAGTAAGGATGGAGTGTGTGGAGAGCAAGAAGGAGCATGAAGAGAGATGGTGCTGGGGGCGAGCTGGATGGAGGGTAGACGAGAGTTAAAAAAGGGGCACTGTTTCAGAAATGTAGCCTGGAGAGACAGACATCAACCGCCATTCGGCTTCCATTCAGACCTGCTCGTCTCACCCACACACTAATGTTTTGGAGGGGGGGCTAAACATCAACACCCGTCAAAACAGGTAGCTGCCCTGATCTTGAGTAACACACACACACACACACACACACACACACACACACACACACACACACACACACACACACACACACACACACACACACACACACACACACACACACACACACACACACACACACACACACACACACACACACACACACACACACACACACACACACACACACACACACACATATACCGACACCCATAATTACACACACCTCACCACAATACACTTCTGAGAGTGAATGACTGGAATCATATTGACAGTGTCATTCTGCAGTACAGATAGTACTGTATTCTTTTATATACAAATACACATTTCAAAAGCATTTTAAAACATTTCAGTTTTTACAAAAGTTAGATAAAAGCCAGAGTGTGCTAAATAGACACTCATAATCATAAGCTGCGTTCACTGGAGGAAGTAACCATAGCCAAAAATATTTTTTGTGCGCTTTCAATATAGGATGTTAAAAAACATATGCACTGGCATTTTTTTCTCTTCTGTGTAGAGATTATTACACTTTAAGCACTTTAAGCTATAAACTGTATGGATAATCCAACTGAAATTTTGTATGAAACTGTCTTATTCTTTACACACACACACACACACACACACACACGCACACGCGCACACACGCACACACACACACACACACACACACACAGACAGACCTGTCTCTAGAGAATTCAGTGATGACATTGTTGAGGTTTTACCACAGGGCAAAAAAACCCCAATGTAGCAAAATCAATGTCACTTCATCATCCACTCACTCGCTTCAAACTGTAATTAACAGGTCAACAAACAACCACCTCGTCTGTCTGTCTCTCTTGTGGAAATTTTGATATCATTATTCTTGTGTCTATCTCCAGGCATGGGAGGCACCAGATCTGACTAGTGTTTTCTGATACAGGGCTGCGGAAACCAACATAATTAGACAAAACTGCGATGAGCGAAAGGAGTTGACAAAATCTAGCCCCAAGAAGTTTTGTCATTATGTTCTTCCTGTCACTGACGCTCCATCAAGGGATGAAAGTTGACACACCTTCCCCCAGGCCTCAAGCTGTAACCATAAGAGTGATGGCATTTGCTTTCATAAAACTACAATTGCTGTGTGATTCATGTTTTACATTAATGATGAATGGGATTGAGGTTTACATTAATAGCTGTCATTTAAAGGGCTTTATGGAGCAGATTTCTGAATGCAGAGATCACATGGGGAAAATACCTTAATTCACATGATGTAAGATTAAAGCTGCTTGCTACTAATTGCTGTTCACATTCTAATCTAAACTTTCAGACCTTTATTACAAAAACTTAACACCGTGTTAGTTTCCACTAAAACACAGGGCTGTATTTTTGTACGGGGACAAAGCCTCAGTCAGTCACACAATATTAAAACGCTGTGTTTATCTACCAGTTTATTGAATGAATGTCTCGTCTTCATTCATTTCAATAACTTTCGGCATTTTATAATATCTTCTATTTTTAACATCTGTTTTATTCTGTTATTAGAAATTAATAATGTTAGTTATCATTTTAGTTCATTAAATGAATCTCCATTATATAGGCTAAATGTATTACTACATTTTAATTTAGCTAAATATCATATAGATACATGTTAATAATAGGTCTCTAGTAGGCTAACCAGTGTTTTTGACCCTTGAACAAGAGATTAAAATATAGGCTATATCAGGACTATTCTTCAGTCATATTTCCATATGGGAAAATGTTTTCTTTGTTTAGCCTAGGCCTAGGCTATATGATTGTAGTTCTGAATGTAATTTGACCTGGTTTGGTCTGTTGCACTATAATTGAATTAATGAATTAATGAATAATACGATGGTGAATACCATCCGCCCATCCGCCACAGCTGGCGCTGTTCTCTCGTATAGCAGTGTTTTTACAGTCAGGCGGTTGAGAGGGCGCCTAAAAGAGGTCCTTTTTCTTGGTGACGTGTATGCTTGATAGCGATATGTGAAACTAAACGAAACGGATGACAAAACATTGCATAACTTTCGATTAGAGGCTTTTTTCTTTTTCTGTGTTTTTTTACCGTGTTTTTGGTGGCGCCTTGAACCGTCTCTGAAGATGGAGATGCTTTACCATCAGACCAATAAGTGAGTTTGTTCATTCTGCTGATAATTTTGAAATAAATTAACTTAGCTGGCTTAACAGTAAACAGAGCTATTAAATGCCGAACGATTTCATAACTTCGGTAGCACTACAACATGTAACAAATAAAAGGCTCTTTGAAATCTATTGTATAGTAATGTGACAAGCTGCTTTGGTCTGACAGTATCGGTTAGCCTAAATGATGAAGATGTTGCTTTGCTTTCTCTGTTTTCTTCCTGTTTATGAATCTAATATTTTTTTGGTATTATTATTATTATGCTTAATTATGGTCTTTTTAGCTGTTTAGTGTGCCAAAAGTGAGGTTAAACTGTAGATCATGCTATCATCTGTCTGACAGCAGAGACGTCACACTAGATAGATTGGTTCACATCCATGAACCTAAAATCCCCTAATGTTTCTAACACCAGTGAATAATGTACAGTGTGTTTAACCCTCTCTCTCTTCTCACACATCCGTGTCTTTCACTTCCAGACAAATTCAGGAGGTTCAGTCTCAGATGGGACGACTGGAGACAACAGATCGACAGTCAGTCCACTGTAAGTCAGTTTGTGTGTGTGTGTGTGTGTGTGTGTGTGTGTGTGCTTGCTTAATGCTTACAATAGAACGAAAACAGATCCTCAGTCCCACTGAGACAATAGGATACAAATAAGACGCATACTCTTAAACATTATGATAGTCAGAGCTCGGTAGTGGGGTTTATGAATATGAATTTCACCTAAAAGCTCCTTCCTTATCCTCGATTGGTAATGTGTCTGCCTGATACATATGGTGTACTCATGTACAACAGCGATATATATAAATACAATATAAAGCAGAATCTTAACTGCTAAATGTGACTAAAAGACATGAAGATAGTATAAACATTAACATTATGAATTTTTTTTGCTTTGAAAATTGACTTTTAAATCCGGACATGGCAAAGTATATAACAGGTGTCGTATAGGCTGTACCAGACTGATCCATGGGTATTTATTGAACCAGAATGTCAATATTTTTGCACTACACTTACCGTAAAACAAAAAAATGTTCTGACCAATTTTTAATGTCATGAGACAACTCTTTTTTTTTTTTGTGTGTGTATCTTCCTACTCTGAGCTGTTTGATGGTCCTGCACTCAGAAATTAGTTTCTGTGGCAATGCCCATAACCATGCCCATTTTTTGTATATATTTAATCACTACATAAATTCTCATCTTTATTCTCTTGTAACATATTAAAGAACTGAGAAAGCGTGCCAGGTAACACCAGTTATAATAATGTGATATATAACCAGTCCTAGGCCTGGTTTACACCTGCGTACCAAATAACATTTAACTCTAAAAGTTGTGTGGTTACGTGTGTTTTCCACAACCTCTTCGCAAAAATGTATTGACCCCATTCACACCAGTATTTTCCTCTTGTGATCGGATAACCTAGATGTGAAAGCACATTTAAACTGGGTCCAGTCTTCGAGCAGCAGGCAAAGTCATTGTGGTGCCACTGACCACCTGATTGTTCTTTGGAGGTGGAGCTCATGAAGAGAGCCAGGCTGGTGCCACGGCAGGAAGGACAGGGAGGAGTGATGGGGTGGGGGGCATGGAGAAGTGTGGAGTGGTATGGTTTGTGTGTGTGTTTGAGGTGGTATTGTGGCTCTGTGGTTAGTCTGAATGAGATAACCGTCTCCTACCCATACTGATGACATCATATGAGATGTCATAGGCGGGAAGGACGCGTAACATATGCATACGTTTGTCTGTGTGAGAGCGACTGTGAGATTGCATTGTCTCAGTGGGTGGGGGTCAGGGGAGACTGCCTGTGTGATAAAACTTTCCCACCAGTCTGTGGTTCTCTCCAAGGAAGCTGCACTCATTCCCGATCTGTGGATCTGCATGTCAATGCTTGATTCCATCTGTACCTGTTACTTATTTTAACTCATTGCAACTTAGTGCTACATTTTCATGTATTTACACTTGTAGCATTTAAAATGGCTAATTGTAGATTTTAGTGTTTTGTTTAATAATATAGAATTTAAAAATCTGCCATATATCGTTATCACACACACACTTACAATTTCTTTTACTCATTGTTTCATCATTTATTTGAATATCCACTATAAAATATTAGAAATTAATCATTTTATTCAGCAAGCATGCATTAAATTGATGTAAATTGGCATCTAGATATTTATTGTTACATAACATTTACATGTTCTATTTTAATTTTCTATTCTATTTTTCAAAAAAAAAAAAAAAAAAAGTTTTCTACAAAATTAATCAGCACAACTGTTTTCAACATTGATGATAATAAGAAATGTTTCTGAAGCAGCAAATCATCATATTAGAATGATTTCTATAGAATCATGTGACACTGAAGACTAATGATGCTGAAAATTCAGCTTTATCGTCACAGGAATAAATTACACTTTAAAATAAATAAAGATAAGTAAAGAAAAGTCATTTTAAATAGTAATAATAGTTCACAGTATTATTTTTACTGTATTTTTGATCAAATAAAAGCAGCCTTGGTGAGCAAACCAGCCCCAACTTGAATGGTAAAGTATGTGAAGTACTTTATGTTCCTGATATGATTGTTATTTGTGTACTTATATTTTCTGATGCTTGTGTTTCTTGCAGTATTTGAGAATGAACTTCAAGCCAGAATTGATCAGATCTTTAATCAGCTGGAGCGACTCGAGATACTAGCCAGTAAAGAGCCACCAAACCGCCGCCAAAATGCCAAACTGTGAGTGCATGAGTAAAAATATCCACTAGTGCCTTCTTGAATCCAGTCCTCATCTTGATCAGAGGTTGCTTTCTGGAGAATTGCCAACTAGAGCAAAATATCCTTCCTGTCAGAAGATTAAATTAGATTCCAATTTGATCTTTAATCAATAAGCACAGACTGATAGCAGTCCAGTATGTTGTGAGTAAGTGGAAGCTGGACTATAGGACTGTTGGTTGGATGACTACCTCAACGTTGCAGGTTCAAAGATCAGGAGATTCATAAGCTACCGCACCATGACAAGGCAAGTTGCTCTGGGAAGATTGTCCCTGTAGTAAATACATAATGTAAGTTGCTTTGAATAAGAAAGCCACTGCCAAATGAAGAATAATGTGTGGTGATGAAGGTTAGGAGTGTTTGTGTTGTGTGCGTGCCACGGGCAGTGGGATCCAGTGAAAACATTCCGTCTGCAGTCACATCATCACCAGCATTCCTGTGCAATGTTGGTGCACAACACTGCACAAACACCTGAGGCCAACACACCTGTTACACTCCCTCACAAAACACTGAATATCGTACAGACACTTCCTGAAGTCTCACATTGTGTGTGCATGAAACCAGGCTAATGTTGGTAAGTTGGCCTAATCAATGGGAATCCTAGTTTTAATGGAAGGAGCTTCAGACACTTCTGTTATTTAAGTGATTGTTAGACCTATATGTGTTCTAATACATAAATGTTTTTCTGCATTTGGTCAAAACAGCTGAACAGTATAAGGATTTTGTCTGTTGGTTTAGTCAGCCCATTAGTTCAGATTGGTTTTGTCCTGCGCATATTATTATTGGCCCTACAACAAAATCAATACATTTTAGAATTTTTTTAAATAGTTACAAATATATATAAAGAAATTAAATGTAATAAATGAAAATGTATTATTAAAAAAAAATATATATATTTAGTATATTTATTGAATTATATATATATATATATATATATATATATGTGTATATATACAGTGTATATATATATATATATATATATGTGTATATATACAGTGTATATATATATATATATATATATATATATATATATATATATATATAAATATATGCTAATGATTGCATAACAATTTTTAATTTATTAAAAATAAATGTTACTTTTAGCTGTGTGATTTATTATTATTATTATTATTAATTTTAATGGTATTTTCATAATTTTTTTAAATTAATACATTTTTAGCAATGCAATTTAAAAAACCCATGTAAATACATACACAATCTCTAAATATAAATAGTTATAAATTAATTATACCACTTTTTTTTTTTTTTTTTAGATTAATTTTCAATTATAGCTTGACACATTTCCAATAACTGGCCTGAAAATTTCTTATACTAGCCCTGAGCCTTTGTATCATCCTTACTGTTGAGTCCTAAATGTTGTAAATAAATTGTGAAAAGAAATACATTTGTAGCCGTTACTAAAAGCGAAACCTCTTTATGCTTAAATGAGCAGGTACTCTACAACTGTTGCATCACCAGACAATACCTGCGGGCTGCTGTGTGGTCCAAAAGACACTCAGTGTGTTTTTCTTTCGGTAGGCGTGTTGATCAGTTAAAGTATGATGTGCAGCATCTTCAGACAGCCCTGAGGAACTTCCAGCACAGACGTTACGCTCGCGAGGCTCAAGAGAGAGAAAGAGAGGACCTCATGAGTCGAAGCTTCACAACAAACGTCAGTAGACCACACACGCCGCCTTCTGCATAGTTTCCCAAACTCTTTCACTATCACTCATCAGTCTATAAACGTACATCACACTACAAAGAAGGCATGATTTTGACCGTGTTTTTTGTGTAGGATCCAGACACCTCCATCCCTATTGATGAAACCCTGCAGTTTAGTAGCAGTCTACAAAACGCTCACAGAGGAATGGACGACCTGCTGGGCTCAGGCTCCAGCATCCTAAACGGCCTGAGAGACCAGAGGAGCACACTTAAGGTCTGTGTGACACAGAATGCAGGGCGGATTGCATTTGGAGACCAGGAAGGGGAATTTATTTTTTCGTCCTCTTATCAGGGTGTTTCTAAACATTTCAAATAGTGCTTGACTGATTGCTGATAATAATACAGTTTAATGACAGCCAAATGAAGTGTTCACAAGATTAAGGAAAAATAATAGATCTATTGATCCATTTAAAATTGAATCATAACCGTTTTAGGCAGTGATATTTTGGCATTATTTATATACTATTATATTAGTAGCTTTTAATTTGAGCTGTTTTAGTAAATTTGTTGATTTTATAATTTTTTTTATTTCTATTTTCATTATATTATTTCTTAGTTTTAGTATTTTAACTTAAACTTATTTTATTTCAGTTTGTGGCCAAGGCAACATTTCTAATTATTATATTATTTTATATCAGCTTTATTTCAATGCAGTGTTCCTACGCAGTTTGGAATTTGATTGGAATAATTTCCAGGTCTGGATAAGTATGGAAAAATATTGAAAAATAATAATTTCTATAAAAATAAAAGTATCATACAAGCAGAGAGTTTTCATGGCGAAAGTTTAGTGATCGTCTTAACACGAATGAATTGAAGGCACACATTTTCATTACGCAAAACTGTTTGTCTTTTACCATAAGCGAGTCTCTTTTGAACTTCGCTAAATGAATGTGCGTGTGCCTCTCAAACCAGCAACAAAGCAAACGATCATCTAAAACGGACTGTATTTTTGCTGTTAGGTGATCCTGCAACATCCAACCTCATGTACAGCATCAAACTGATGCAGAGGTGAATATATGCAGGTTATAAAGTGTTTGAGGTTTCTTCTTATCATGTAAGCGCATGTTATCACTTTGAGAAAACCAATGGAAAAAAAAGAAAAGAAAAATATTACAGATTACTGTACTATATGCTGAAATATAATGCTCTATGAACCATTTATGTTAAATATGGTCTGAAATTTGAGACTGGAAAAGTATGGAATTTTTCAAATGGAAATCATGTAGGATCCCGGTCAATGAATGAAAATGTTTTAGTTAACATTGATAACAACACTGGTTTGAGGTCATGCATGCGCATTTAGATGCTGACAGTGTGTTTCCAGGGAGGAGTATGTGTTCTTCCTGAAGCTCGTCTGATTATCACAGAGCGTGAGAGACCGTCTCTGACTGTGGTTTGGGGGAAATGACGGGGGTGATGTGTACTTCTGATGTTTTACTGAGTGAATGAATGTCTCTGTTGGTCACCGTGTTAAAAAAACGCTATTCAGAAAACTGCAGATTCTTGGTTACATCTTACACCTTCTCTCCCTCTCTCTCCTTTTTTAGGGTACACATAAAAAGATGTTGGATGTCGCAAACATGTTGGGTTTGTCGAACACGGTCATGCGTTTGATTGAGAAGCGAGCAACGCAGGACAAGTTCATCATGATGGCTGGAATGCTCGCTACTTGCTTTGTCATGTTCCTGGCGGTTAAATACCTTAGTTGAACTTTCCCAACTTTAGGCGACCTTGATCACGTCAGTGGCTCATTCCGGTTTTCATCCCACTTGCATCACATCTATAAAAATTGCAGAGGTGTGCTAAAGGAAATCACACAACTGCTTCTTTGCAGGATGACTGTCAGTCTCATCTTCACAAATCTTTTTTTTTTTTGGTCTATTCTTTCTTCATCTACAGTACTTTGAAAGATTGAATCCTTTCATAACTTTCGGCTCAGCTGACTCTCAAATAAGCAGTTTAAACATTGCTCTGCTAGTCTGAACTTAAAAGATCAGTCAAATAGTCATTAAAATGTACTTTTAACATTGTTTAGAGGATTGGTCTGTTATCTGGATTTTCATCGCCATCTTTTGGAGAACAAACCCAAAAATGTTTGGTCATTCAGTGCTGTGTTGGTTTTGTACTGTACTGTATTTCTAACACTTCAAACCTGTAAATAGAGATTCTTAGGCATTTTTGTGCTATAAACTCATCATCCATATACATCCAGCTGCCCTCAAATGTAAAACTTGTTTCATACGGTTAAACTGTCTTCGCCTGGATCTAAGCAGAAGCCACAGCCCCTGGCAAACAGGAAATGAGACGTCTTATTGGACATCTGCTGCATGGATCTTGACGCTCTGTGTGTACACATTCACACATGCTCAGGACCCCTGCAGCATAATCCCCAACAATGTCCCCCTGGAACAGTCACAACATTTATGTTTTTGCCACTGCTGACAGGTTTGTTGACCAAGACGAAAAAGATACCATAATGTGACATCAGTTCCTGATATAGGCTTAATTGCTAGTTACTTTATTTTAATTATTTGTTCATAATAATGCTCAATAATTATGCTTTTTTGTGTGTGTGTGTGTGAAAATGAGATATAAATGTTGTGAAAGTAGAAAAAAAAAAACTCACCTGCAGTTTTTTTCTACTATAGTCACAAATTTACAGACTTGAGGATTAGAAAGAAGATATGTAACAAATGTGTTTAGTGCTTATATTTGCTCAAACACATTTTAAGGTATTAAAAACCTGCCTCCATAATCTGACAAGCAGGCAGCATTTGTAATTGAAAGATCTTCATATTTAACATAGAATATTACTTCCTCTATGGTTTCTGGTGAAAACTTTGCATCAAGACTCGGCGTTGGACTAAAGCCAATCTAAGGCAAGTGAAGTACCATCCAACAGTGACAACTAGTGTCATTTGGGTGAACTTCATTGGGGTGATAAATTAGGGCCTATTTTGCCAAACCCTCAAGTAAATATATCACTAAAATCTACCTACAATAAAGAAAGCAGTGTTACAAGTTCAAGTTAATTTATAAGGTTTCCATAGTAAGGTAATCCATCCCAGAAGGGGATCTTTTTTGGTGGTTTTGATCATAGTGTTCATAAATAGTTCAAGCACTTTTAGTACAACATTTTAAATGCCTTAGTTTGTTTGGCTAGTAACATTGACAAAAGGTTATTAATCAGTACACGGCCAGTAGAACCTTTCTTAGTGGGTGAGGATACGCATAGGCTACTTTTATTGTCATGTGACTGGCTAAACAAAGACTGCCATTTTATCAGGTTATTTCTACGTATACCAGAGCTTATTTATTTTCCCCAATGAAGTCAAATTCAGGCACAGGTGACCTTGCAATTTGTCTCACTTATTGCCACTTTCTGATGGCTTGCAGCTGGTTCTACGAAAAAGATTTTAGTAATAACTCATATAAACATGGATAATAATATTATAATAATCACACCTGTACACCAGAATTACAAGTCAAAGTCTTTATTTGCTGATGCATTGAGGAATTAAAAAAAGCTAATGTCATTGCTGCCATTTACAGTACGTCACCAAACAGTTTAGCCACATTCTGCTGTCCCTCCACAGTTCAAACACACTCCTAACCTCTGTAGTACCAGCCCTGATCATGTTTACATAAGTTTTTCCCCCACGTTTTTAATGTCATTATTTTTTTATTAGCATTTTTAAATGGGTGTTACAAACCTTTATTTTACAGTTTCACTACGTTAACTTTATTTACATTTAACTAAGTGTACAGAAAGAAAACATTTTCCAAAGAAAATAATTTAAAATCAAATAGAAATAAAAATTATTGCAGAATACTACAATCATACAGTTGTTACAAGATGCAAAAATCGCATCTCAATGTACATCTTTTCAGTGCAAGATTTCACAATTTCAATAAGGGATGGGAACCTTCAAATCCCAAAGTGTAACTTGTTATACAGTTTCAACAGCCTGTGACATTATAAAAACTTTTGACATCAACATGTGTGATGTCTGTTTCATCCACTATTTTCAAATAATTTATATTGATTTACAACCAATCAGCAAAAATAGCTTAACACTGTTCAGTGCTGAGTATGGCTTTTATTTTAATCATCTTGTTCATGTTTTTTGATACCCTTTGATCAGAGTATAGTACAATGGTTTTTGATAATTGGTATGATCTGAAAATTACCAAATATTATGATAATCCTACAGCAAACCAATCGTCAGTTTTTCACAGCCTGGTTTTTGAATAGCAGGCTTAATTGTATCTTTGCATATTGTATCAGTTAGTTCATAAACTCTGCAACTTTCATGAATGCTTAGTACACAGAAAATCAAGTCTCCAAAAGTGACCCTTAAAGACCACCCATTACCATCTGTATACAACCACGCTAAAAGCCCACAACAAAGATTTTGATTATGGCTTCAGCAAGAGAGCTTCTGGATACAAGAAACATATCAGAAAAATGGGGAAAAAATTGACACCACACAAAATGAAACAATACGCCAGCAGTGGTTTCCTAGTTGTACGAGCTATGTCTTGGCCTATAAACCAACTCATACTCCTTGGGGGAATATTTATACATGTATATATATGGTGTTACATACCTCAAACAGCCATCCTAGCTCCTGGTTCAGGACATACAATTTCATAACATTACAATCTCAAAAGGCAGACAAGATCTTATTCTGTCCTCAATTTAAATGCACTCTTAAACAGCCCTGTTGAGGTCACCCTAAGGACGTAGAGGACAGAAGAGGACTATGGGTCGCCAGACTGTGCCACCCATTAGCTAAAACTCTTCAGCCTTACACGCTGCTTGGCCAGGCCCTCCCTTTGAGAGGAGCCGATATTCAGGAGCCATGGTTTGGAGGGTGCTGAAGGTCCTGCCCTGCAAAAATAGGATGCAGAAGTGGGTGTAGCTGTAGGGCAGCTGCTGCCGCAGCAGAGGCTGGCCGAGGGGCAAAGAGCGTTGGGTAGAGGGCATGGGGGAAATGGTGTAGAGCAAGAGGGGTGTGATGAAGGGCAGAGGCTGGTATAATATGTATTGGTTGGCCTGAAAGGAAGGCAGTGTGGTGGGCTGGAATCAGGCCAGTGTGTCCTAAAGAGTGACCCAGTGAATGGCCCAAAGAATGGCCCAGTGGTGACAAGGAGATAGGGGTTAGATGATGTTGAGGTATGTGGTGCACCTGGGCTAGCTGGGCATGGGCAGGGTGGTGATGATGATGATGTTGGGTATGAGGATGAAGGCCCATGGCAGCAGCGTGGTGCTGCAGGATGGCATGCTGTACTGTGGTAATAGAGGTAGCAGAAGCTGCAGAAACTGAGGGTTGCTGGATGTGCATAGGCTGCAGTGCAGCTGGTGGTGGCGGCGGTGCAGGGGCAAGGTTAGCCGCTGCTGCCAAGTTAGCTGCAGCTGCAGCAGCTGCAGCTGAGGGGAAGCTCTTCACCTGCTTGGCCAACAGTTGCTGTTGAATGTGCTGTTGAGCTGCTTGCTGTAACTTGCTGTATTTCTCCATTTCCTCTGGGGTAAAGGTGATTGGTTGACTTTCTAATGGTGCAAGACCATCCTCTTCAGCTTCCATGCCCATGTCCCCATCCTCCATTGTGGGAGGGGGGTAACCAGGGTAGGCGTGCATAGTAGGCTGCGGTCCCATGTCGGGCCCCATTAGATGCCCGTCCAACATGGGGTTACTGGAGTCTTGTATTTGCTCACCTTGGTATTGCGACATCATCATTCCTGGATCCTGTTCATATTGTGGCTGAGACTCATGGAGGGCTGGAGGGTCTGAGGGCGCATGTCTGGTCTCCTCGGACACTGCAGCATTTGATACAGCCTCTTCCAATGGCTGCTTTTGTTGTTGTGGTTGCTGTTGTTGAACTGGTGGCTGAGGTGGAGGAGGAGGTGGGGGAAACTCACGAATGGGTTCTACCAGGATTACTTCATTACTATCAGAATTTTTCCCCTGTTCAGACTTTGCGCCCTCAGTTAAACGTGTAAGAGGAAGAAATGGTGGCTTCTTTCCTGCTTGGAGCTTGCCAAAAAGAGACAACATACTTTTGTTTCCAAGGGCAGGGGGGAGCTTGGGCCCAAAGTATCCCTGTGGAGGGTCCTTGATCTTGATGCCTGTCTTAGTGCCAGTACCAGATTCATCCCCTCCTTTTCTAGATTGGATTTTCTCCAAGAGTTGTCGAGCTGTGAATGAATTTCGATGTTCTGCAGCACCTCCACCCTCCTTTGAGGAAGCTCCACCACCACTTCTAGTTCCTTGTGCCGATGAAGAGTTGCTGTTTCGGGTATGTGTGCGGGAAGAGGACCTAGGAGATTGGGAACGGTAGATTCTGGATCGGTTAAAATCCCGTCGCTGTGTTGAGCTGTCAGATCGCCGGCTGTGACCATGTCGATGTGGAGAGCCCTTGGTGGAGATAGATGAACGACTGGCAGAGCTACGGCTGCGACTGTAGCTGCTACGTCTGTAGGAACGGGCGCTGCTACTCCTGCTACTACGACTGGAGCTGCGACTACTGCTCCGTTGGTGTCTCCGCCGATGATGTTTCCTGCGGCTGTGTGAGCGTGAACGTGAACGCGAGTCTTCCTCTGAAGAGGAGGAGGAGTAATGCCGCCTGTGAGATCGCCCACTATCACGCCTCTCATAATCTGAGTCTGAGGAGGGTATTCTTGATCTGTGGCGACGTTTTTCATCACTGTAGTCACTGTAACTGTCTGAGTAGCTACGGCTACGGCGACTGTAAGCACTGCTCCCTGCTGAGGAACGCTCTGAGCTACTTGAGTAGGATCGACTGCGTGACTTTTGACCTCTGTGGCGTCTATGGTTGTGGTCTCCTCGACGTGATGACCTACTACGTGATCGTCCAGAATCATCACTGCGGTGTCTGCGCTGCTCGCGTTGTGGTGTGGAGCGACGGCGAGCTGGTCGTGAACGTTGAGAGGATGATCCACCATCTTCCTCACTGTCACTGCTTGGAGGTCGACCTCCACTTAAGCTCTTTTGGGCTGAGGCAGAGCAGGAAGCAGCAGGTGTGTTGGTGTCAGATTTAAGACGTTTAGTACCATTGTGTTCCTCTTTAGCGCTAGGCTTTCCCGCACTGCTTTCCTCAACTCCAGACAACTGAGCCATTTTGTGGGACCGTTTTCTCTTTCCTCCCTCAAGGGACGTGCTTATTTCTGATGACTGAGCAGTGGACACTCCATCTTTGTCATCCTTGTCTTTCTCTTTTTCCTTACTTCCACCTCCCTCTGCTTCAATTTCATCAGTGCCACGTGGTTTATTTTTGCTTTTCTTTCTTTTATGTTTCTTCTTCTTTTTTGTTTTCTCTCCTGGTGTCTCATTCTCTAACTCCCCTTCCACTGCTGCTTTTTCTTTACGCTTGGAATGCTTGCTTGACTTCTTGTGTTTCTTCTTCTTTTTCTTTTTCTTAGACCCTGCAGACACATCTTCATTACTTTGTAATTTCTGCTCATTGTTCTTTCTCTCAGCACCACCCTCTTTTAAGGATGATTGTTCTTTTTGAACAGTACTGGGTCCTGCAACCGTTGTAGCAGTCTCTCCAGTAGTGTCAGGAGTACTGTCTGTGTTTTCAGGCTTAGACCCCTCTTGTCCATCAGTGCTAACTGCCTTGGCAGGTTTGCTGTTTTTGCTTGCCCAGTTTCCTTTGTTTCTTGACAGTTTGAAGTCAAAGTAAAGAGGATTACAACTGTAGGAGAGAGATGGCTGAGCCTTGGTAAATTCCAACAATTCAGAAGGCCATTGCAAGGTAGTGCTTTCATCCTTACTTAGCACAGGAAAGAAAGGCCCAGTTGCCATGCGTGGACCTGTGTCTGGAGACTCTGATATCCCTTGCTTGTTATCAGCTGGTTGGTACGTGCCAACTACTACTGCTGTATCACTTTGCCCTGCAGCCGTATTACCTGATTCTTCCACTGTCTTCACTTCAGCTGATATGGAAGAGGGATTTGTGTTTAGGGCCTGTGTAGGTTCATTCTCAGTGTCTTTTTCAGATGTGCAGCTGCTGACTTGCTCTCCAGCGTTACCTGCTGCTTCCTTCTCATCTTTCGCTCCATCCTCCTCCTCCTCCTTGCTATCACACTGGTCTGTAGCCTTCATGAAAAGCAGAAACTGGAAATGGGGCTTGACCCGACAATGTGCAGGAGGTACATAATGGTAATACTGTGGCTCCTGTCCAGAGTAACCTTCCTCCTTTTTCATCATCATCTTCAGCTTGTTCAAAGTAGAGGCCAGGGCTGCTCCATCATCTGGTTGTGACTGCTCTTCTTCACCCTCACCCACCCCTCCACCACCTCCTCCAACTACGCCATCGCCGCCTCCTCCTCCTCCACCACTACCTCCTGCTTGGGGAATATCAGTGGTAGATGCCACACATACGTCATCTCCTTCAGTCTTTTCTCCTCCCTCTTCCTGACCTTCTTCTCCTTCCACTGTCTCTTCACCATGGTCTGCAAAGAAAGCTGCAACTGTCTCAAGTTTGACTGGGGCTTTCTTAGCAAAAGAGAAGGATACACTGACTTTGGGAGCCTGTGAGCCTCCAGAGGGTGTTGGAGAAGAACTAGTCTTGTTAAACCCAAAGCTGATGGTAGGGCCTGTTCTAGGGGAGTCTTGATCACTAACACTACAGATTCCCTTATCTTCAATAGCCTCTGTGTTGGTATCCACTGTCATAGGCACACCATCCATGGAGTCTTCCCCCTTTTCTCCATCTACTGCCACTGTGGTGGTCTTAAACATAGGTCCACTACCAGCGACACTGCAAAATAAATAAAAGAATGAGACCCTGTGCTATGACTGGCAACACTTCCAAAAAACAAGATTAGAAGACAGACTCAGAATTTTACTTACTATTCTTGCTGTTTCCTCTGTTCGGCCAGTTCATGAAGCCGCCGAAGCATCCTCTCCTGTTTTCTGCAATCTTTTTTGGAACGAGAGGACACATTTCGAGCAAACTCTCTCTGCTTCAGCTCCTTCAGTCTCTATTGGATTAGACAGAGAGGAATAAGAACTTAATGAAAATGTTATGAGCTGCAGCTGCACATGTGAAAAAGACATGTTGAATGTTAAGAAAATTATGGCATGTTTAAATGTTGTTCAGTACAGTCATGCCTATGTGAATCTCTACTACCTGCTTGTGTGCATGATCGTAGGAGTTGATGTGATTGTCAAACTCCTGATGTTTCTGGTATTGCTTATCACACAGTTCACAGTAGAAATTGGCCCTCAGTTCCTCTAAAGCTTTGGCAATAGCTTTTTCCTTCTCCGCATAATCCTACAAAACAGAACAAATCATAAAACATTAATTGGAATTAAGGCCCAATTGTAGACTTCGCATCGGTTTTCATTTATGTTTCTGCGTCGTTGTCCGCGTTGACGTGCAATTACACATGCAGAGGAAGCATGTGATACCCGAGGGAGGGGTTTTAGCAGACCAATCACAGCACTTGCGGTCTGCGTAGAATTGACGCGTTGTTACATTTTTGGAGAGGTGCACGTTAGGGTCCACCGTAGGCTAACCGCGCTACACACAGCCTACGACGTAGCTACGGCGGGAGGTCGACGCAGAAGTATAAATTGGGCTTTAAGCCCAATTTAAACTTCTGCGTTGAACTCAATTGAACTGGCGTACTCAATTGAAACTTCTGCGTTGAACCGGCGTACCCTGACGTGCACATCTCCAAAAATGTAACAACGCATCAATTCTACGCGGACGAAAGCGCTGTGATTGGTCTGCTAGAACCGCTCCCTCGGGTTTCACATGTTCCCTCAGCGTGCAACAACGCGGACAACGACGCAGAAGTATAAATTAAAACTAACGCGTAGTCTACAGCGTAGAGGCTCCAGCGTAGGTCCGACACAGAAGTATAAATCAGCCTTTAGGTTGATTTGGTGTAGAAAACTGGCTTGCATAGGCAACATCGGCATTTGGGAGAATGGTATATGAACATTATAATGTACTGTACATGTAGGATAGTTTGTCAAGAAAGACCAAGTTTGTGTGAAGGAGATTAATAACATATCAATTATAATGCTTATAACCTTTAATCTTATAACAGCTTTAGAGAGTTACACACAGTTATCCTCAATGATGTTTTTGTATGTTTGTTTGTATTTGGTTGAGCTCCAGTGGAACAAGAGTAGCTTTGTATCCGTACAAGAGTAGTAACGGTGGAGAATCAATCTCAAACATTCACAGAATGTTAACTAGATAAGAATTGCATTTAATCTATGGAAAATAAGGGAATTGGGAAGAACTGTAAGGAAAGAGAAATTATGTGTATAGGATGTTTAAGACTAACAGAAAAAGGCATTGAACCCTGCTGTCATAGAATTTCACCTTGTATTTTTGACGGAGTTCCTCTGTGTCTTCTTTTTCCACTTCCAACACCCGGCGCTTTTCTGTGGCATCTTCTGCATAGTCCAGCTGTGGGCACACATGTGCACACACAGGTTAGAAGTGAATAAATTAAAATTAACATTCAGAAAGAAAAGAAAGCACAAACAACAATCTTGTCACCTCCATTTCCATTCGCCCCATTCCCATGACGTCATATTTGAGGACGATGGGCACTGGGTCAGTTCGTCCTATGAGGTTGGGGGGGAGAGGCAAAAAGAGAGACACATAGGACAGAGGTTAGACTTTTGTTCAGATATAAGAGAAAACTCGGGACGGGACAGCCTGCTTAGAGCACAGGGTGCTGGGTTAGAGAGACTGCCTTCAAGTGCAAGAGACCAGAAAGCTACAGTGAACCAAACTCTAGCCATTCTCACAGCTTCATGTGCAGCTCTCCTCTAAAAGGCCATTCCAGGTGCTGCAATATGACTTGCAATATGAACTAAGGCTAGTTTTAATTGTTTACTATTTGAGTTTGCTGCCAATTTATTTTGTAATGAACTGCATACACTGAAAAAAGTACAAGAAGCTTCCACTGAAAGAAGCAAGGGACAGAAAACAAGGAGGGGAAGGTTGGACTGAAGATTTCACTGAATTTGCCGCAGTGTCCCTACAGTGGTCTGCTTAAGGATGTCTTTCTTTCTTTCTTTCTTTCTTTCTTTCTTTCTTTCTTTCTTTCTTTCTTTCTTTCTTTCTTTCTTTCTTTCTTTCTTTCTTTCTTTCTTTCTTTCTTTCTTTCTTTCTTTCTTTCTTTCTTTCTTTCTTTCTTTCTTGTTATTGCCCTCCCACTCTTTTTAGTCAAGTCTCAATGCTGTATGGATTGTGCTCTGTCCTACTCATGTTCTTAACTCAGATGACAGAGGCATTTGGGTTGCCCAGAAGGAGTACTTAAGAGAGGGAGGAGATATCAGCATTCACTGCATCTTTTCACAGTACTGCGGCAACACTGACTACCTGATCCGAAGTGTGTCTCATAATATTCTCCTATTTACACCCATTTATCTAGATCTAATCCCTCTCCGAGCTGCTCATCAACTTTCCTACCTGGCTACAGGCCACACCTGGATGCAAATGAGGTTTATGTCCCATTTGATTTCCTGAAATAGTACTTTCTTTTACTGATCATACGTTTTATATACACAAGCTGTGAAAAGACCTAGATCAGAGGAAAAGTAACATCAGAAAAAATGAACAAATCAGAATGAAACAAAAAAGACAATCAAAACTACATTGAAGATTGACACATAATTGCTTAATCCACTCATAACCAGCCAAACGAAGCAGAGAGAGAGAGAGAGAGAGACAGAGAGAGAGAGAGAAAGAAAGACACAGGGAGTGAAAGACGGAGAACAGAGAGAATAAGGACACAAGCACTGAGCTACAGCAGCAAAGTGACGTCAAAGGCCAGAGGTTGCCATGGTGACAGTGCAGGTTTGGGGAAAGGATGTACTTACCTGGGAGAGTGTGGGGATGGGGTGGGGGTAGCAAACATACAGACACAGAGACAGGAAAGGGTGGGGGTTTCAAATAAAGGAGAAAAGGCACAAAAACAGAAATCATACTAATTTGCGGCTGCACAGGCTAGCACCATGGTCACAGTCAATCAGACTCCAATCAATTGTTTGAATTTCAGTTTTTTTCTGTCAGTCTTCCTCTTTTTTGTCATTTTTTTGCGAGGAGTTCAAGTTTTAAAAGCAGGATCAGATCATACCCTTGGGCTGATGTAATAATGACAAAAGGCAAGAAACATTTGTGAATAACATCAGGGGCCAGTTGCATGAACTGCTAAGACTAGTCTAACAAGTTAGTCATCAATTTTTTTTACTATTCACAACTTTTTTTTAGAAGTTACATACAAACTAGTTGTTCATACTAGTTCTTAAGACACAGTCTTAACATAATGGCTATGTTTATGGAACTAGCCCCAGGAGTAACTTAACGTAACAAAGGGCTAGGAATTTGACAAAAAAAGTTATATTAGTGATTTCTTACAATTATTTATCCATTACCCATGTAAATTACAATTGTGTGATACCTAAATACCCTTAAACATTGAAACACAGATTTGAAACTGACAAAAACAGCCCTTGAGCAGAAAGAGACATTACAATTTGCACATTTAAGACTGTCTAATTTGTGAGAGACTAGAGCTTCAGCCCAGTGGTATAATTGTTCCTGTAAGAAAGTGATAAAGGAGCATGTGCGGAACGATAAGGTCCTGAAGGGATTCCAGCCCCCACCAGAGCCTCCAGGAAAGTGCACTGAGGGATTCATACTACCACCAGGGTGCACAAGAGTGTTTATTATCAAAACAGAGAAACTATATAATAAATGACAGAAGCGGGCCGTTAAAAGACACTATTATAACCAGATACCTAATATCTGGTTATAGTGTATTTTAACATTCTACCATATCAAATTGGAAACATGGAATGTTATTGTAATGATTAGCATTGATTATCTCGGAGTATGTCTGAGAATTCTCTAGGGGGTAGGGGGGAATCCCAAAACCAGGCCCCCAAATCAACGATCATTTCTCTTCCCAAACAATCTGTCTTTGGGAACAACGAGAGGTCAAGACTAGTATTATGCATTCTAGTGAAAGAACATAATGAGACTGGACAAAAAGGTGCAATGCAACAAAAAAGGGGAAGTGAATCTAAATATCCCCCAAAAAACTGAAAACAAACAGAATGAGAGTGTTCTAGAAGAGTGCATATTGAACACTACGAGACGGGCAGCAGAATGAAGACTAATACAAAGAGAGGTAGAGAGTTTAAGCCTATTAAACACTGGTGCTCTGATGATGAGAGTCATATCAAAACAAGAAATGGGGGAAGTAAAATCAAACAAAAAACAAACAAAAAAACAAAAATGAAAGAATAAATCAAAAGAAAATAACCAATTCAATCAGGGGTAAAAATAACATTTACCACTAAGTTTACCATCAGCACAACATGGCCAGGATCATAATGCTGCAAAAAAGAAACACCAATTGGTTAAGCAGGAAGATTGAGGCACAAAGAGAGCGTTCAGGGGTAAGGGGTAAAGGGTTAGGGGTGGGTTTGGGGGCAGGGGCTTTGGTGTACCCCCTACCAATGGGCCTGGGTGATTACAGGGATAACCTCTCACCATCCCTGACTCTCCTCCTCTTTTACTGCTAATTTCTGGTGCTATAGTTTAAGGCTTTTGGGTTCCTCAATGACAAAGCAAGGAGGAGTTTCCCCTCTCTTTTATGATTGTCTTTGAACATAAATGTATCAAACCATCACTCAATCCAAAAAGGAGCACTCTCCTCCCCATTTCCACCTTTCTCCAATCCCCATGCGGGTCCAAGTCTCCACGTGAATGTGTTTCTGAGACAGAGAGGCTGTTGTATACATACTTCATCACGCAGCTGTACAAGCTATGAGAAGCATACGCTGTGAGTGAGCTTTTAGCAGCGCATCTTTCTTATCAGCCAGCAGGACTCTGGCCTCTTTAGAAGACTAGATCTATTTCACAGTCATTTTCATCTCGCCATTGATCTAGAATCAATTCCAATCCGTTTTGTGGTCTCTTGCATTGCTTAAAACTCAGCTTCACAAGACTGGGTCTCTACAGCCAGCATGCTCTGCATGAGAGGGGGAAGGAGATGGGTCAGGTCAGGTGAGGCTTTCACAAGTAAGTACATTTATAAGAGGAGAAGTGGGATGCAGGTGGGATGGTGTGAAGACTTCTCCCTGCAAGCTAAAACACCTGAGCCCCCACCCCTTGTTTTGGTGACACATACACACACACACACTCTCAACACATACAATTTCCACTCCCACATGTACCACGTGTACATTCACTTCACAAAAGTGGACGCAGGCAGATAGACCGATCAAAGGCGGAAGGAGGGGGGAGAATGGGCAGGAGATTGAGGCTAATTCTGGCAAGCCATTCAGGGGAATCATGGGAAAGAGGCAGAATCATGTTCACAGCCAATCAGAGGGCCCCATCTCATCTTCTCAGCCAATCAAAACACCCCCATCGCAGCCAAACATACATTAAACTAATATATACAAGTACTATTCTAACATGGGTGAATTCTGAACAATCAAGAGAAAAAAATGGGCAATATATTTCTTCAAAATATTTACTGATTCCATTTTGGTATGAGTTTCAAATCGTAGCGCTGGTATTGAGCAGAGAGCGTTTAGTGATTGTAAGCGTATAGAGAAGAACTAAGAAAGGCCGTTAGGCTACACTGTAAAAGGGGGAGAGTTATTTTGTATTATTTACAAGAAAAAACACCCACACGCACACTCACACTTACTCAAACATACACACAAACATACAGTGGGGAAGGTCCTACAAACCTTACCTAAAAACAAGAGTAAAAAAAAGAAAGAAGAGTAAAAAAACAGAGTCAATACAATGGAAACTCAAAGCATTTGGGGAGACATTTCAATAAATCACTCAGTACCAAGGCTCTTTCCAAAAGATAGAGAGAAAAGGAAAAGGATAAGGTTCAAACACCATGGCATGAGCACCATAATGGGTGAACAGGCGTGTGTTTGCTTTTTTGTTTGTGTGTGGGTTTGTATGCTATGTATGTAGCTGAGTCCTTTGCACTAAGAGTGAGTGTTTTCAAATAATTCCCAACATGACTACTTGACTGGGTCAAAACATATATGGTCCCTTTTTTCTGAGAAACAGAGTCATTTTCTTTGCAGATTCCACCAAAGCAATTTGGCATGTAATTTGGAGTACATGCTTTCCACAAGCTCTCACTCTACCCCTCCTCTCATTTCTCTCCTGCAAGATGGAACTAATCTACTTGCTCAAGCTCGCTGAAAGCTCCAGGACTTTATCTGATCTGGAAAATCTCTTTCACTGCAAACAAACTTCAGACACTCAATCTTCTCTGTGTATTAAACACAAAGGAAGATGACAACCAAGAAAGGACAAAACTGATCTTTTGAGCGTCTTGCCAAGCTACAAAACAGATGGGTGGTGCCGGGGAGCACTGGAAACATTCCTAATCTGTCACACACTTGACTTGGCTGGGATGACAACCTCTGACTTCGGCAACTTCCTCTGGGTTCCCCGCACGGTGAGTTCTAAGAAAGCAGCCAATGGAGTGTGAGTTGCTATGGCAAAGGCGAAAAAGAGAGCTGCTGTTCTGGTTTCTGCTGTCACTGCTTAAGGAAACGCTGTCTCTCTATGAAGTAGTGCTGGCAATATAAAATATGATGAAATATGATGAACATCACAATGATTTTATTGGCCCATTAAGCCTCATAATGGGCAAATAACCTCTTTCTACAGCAACTTGTGATTATAAGAGCAAAACGAAAGAGATGTTTTAAATGGTCTCTGATTTAAACCTCAGCAGCAAAAATAGCTATGCTAAAAATGCTAGTTCTTCTGATCTTTTAAGCCATTTTAGAGCAGATATAAATATATATTTTCAACATTATTCTAACAGTATGTACACTTTCATTCAAAGGTTTGGCATCTTTTTTTTTTTTTTTTTTAAGTAGTTTTTAAAAGAAGTCTGAAATGCTTAAAGCTGCATTTATTTGATTCAAAATACAGTAAAAACAGTAATATTGTGAAGTATTATTACAATTTATTTTGTATTTATTTTTGCCTTTACGGTCACCTCCAATCAACTTAATGCATCTTTGCAACATAAAATTATTAATTTCTTTCAAAAAATTATCCTGCTATTTTGTTATTTTTCCTACTATGGTTGAAATGTTCCATTTCATTTCACTATGTTCATGTCCATGGGTCACTGGGAGCAATGAAAACCGATATTATGCCTTTCCCATTTATGCACACTGAGAACTGGATTAAGATCTTGGGCTTTTAAACAACGCTGACTTCAGCACTTGAATAGCAGAGCTTAACAGCTGCAGGCCAGTGGTCTAGAGTGTGCGCGTGTGCAAATATTCACAATAAAAGCAGTCTCTAGGGAGAGACTCAAATACTTGCCTGATGGGCCGAATGACCTTACAAAAGTTAGCTGCCACAAACCATCACGGTTTGCTTTCAATAGAAGTCGAGATCGAGCGAGCGAGAGAGAGAGAGAGAGAGAGAGAGAGAGAGAGAGAGAGAGAGAGAGAGAGAGGGAGAGGGAGAGCGCGTGTCAGCTGAGTTTGCCTAACATCTCGTAAATTGATCTGCCCACATGTAAATCAGTACATGTTTGTGTGCAAACATACAAAACCTCTCATTGCACAGAAGTTGCAATGAGGAATAAAGAGAAAAAAAACAAAAACAAAAGAAAGATCTAGACCAGGGGTGCCCAACCCTGTTCCTGCCGATCGACTGTCCTGCACAGTTCATCTCCAACCCTAATCAAACACACCTGCCTTTAAAAGGTTAGTTCACCCAAAAATGAAAATGATGTCATTAATGACTCACCCTCATGTCGTTTCAAGCCCGTTCCAAGAAAGGAAATAAAGACATCAAAGTAGTCCATGTGACACCAGTGGGTTAGTTAGAATTTTTTGAAGCATCGAAAATACATTTTGGGTCCAAAAATAACGACTTTATTCAGCATTGTATTCTCTTCCGGTTCTGTTGTCAATCCGCGTTCAGTGACGCTGCTGACGTAAGACGCTGCTGACGTGTATCTGGTGTGTCCGTGTATTCGGGTTCAAATAAATATGGCTGGGCAAAAAAACGCAAGTCTTCCTCTGTGTCGAAATCCTTAGACATGTTTGCGAAGATTGTTTTGTTTACAGCGTGCGTCTCCCTCAGACTGTGAACGAAGCTCGGCACACTGATAACACGTCAGCAGCGTCACTGAACGCGGCTCGACAACAGAACCGGAAGAGAATACAATGCTGAATAAAGTCGTAGTTTTTGTTATTTTTGGACCAAAATGTATTTTCGATGCTTCAAAAAATTCTAACTAACCCACTGATGTCACATGGACTACTTTGATGATGTTTTTCTAACCTTTCTGGACAAGGACAGTATACCGTACATACATTTTCAATGGAGGGACAGAAAGCTCTCGGACTAAATCTAAAATATCTTAAACTGTGTTCCGAAGATGAACGGAGGTCTTACGGGCTTGGAACGACATGAGTCATTAATGACATAATTTTCATTTTTGGGTGAACTAACCCTTTAATTTTCAAGTGATCCTGAAGACCTTAATTGGTTGCTTCAGGTGTGTTTGATTAGGGTTGGAGATAAACTGTGCAGGACAATCGATCGGCAGGAGCAGGGTTGGGCACCCCTGCAAATAAAACTCACAAATAAAAATAATAATGAAATGTGCTCAGAAAGCTAAACATTCTTTCAGGCTATGATCCACTACATTTTGTTCTGCTCTTACTGATGCGCTAAGAGGATGACACATACTAGCATTCCTCATTGTGTGCTTTATTTCCTGTAGGCTTTGTAGCGTGACTGCTGCACACATGCATCCTGCTGGGATGATAAGATGTATGTTTGTGTGCGTCTCAGAAATGTTCTATTTTCTACATAGACCTCAGTCGGCCAACGATTGCATCAGCATAAAGTAATGACCAAAAACAGAGCCTTTTTAAAGCCAACTTCACTCTCTGTCTTGGGGGAAAATTTTAACGTCTACTCTGTCGGTCCATGAAAAGAAACTCCCTTCTAAGTAATTGTGTTTCCTTACTCAGGGTGTGAGTATTTTTATTTTGCTCCACAAGTCACAAAATGTAACAAATACAATTTGCTTAAGAAAAGTCAACATGAAATCTAACACTTTGTCTCTTGTAGCGCTAAGAGCAGAGTTGAGATGTACAAAGTGATCTTCTGCAGGGAAGAATGGCTCATATGCATGTATTCTACCGAACAACCATTGAACTCAGACCACAATACTGCATCAATACAGCATATCGCCAGGCCATAAGTCAAGTGCAAGGGAAAAAGTAGAGGGGGAACTGGGCGAGGACAGAGGGATGGAGAAAGAAATGAAAGAGTTGTTCAAGTTCACTTTATTTGTACAGCACATTTACGACAGCCACTAGGCTGACCAAAATGCTTTACAGAACAACCAATTAAAATATAGTAATACCTGCATAACTTCCTTAGCAAATGCACTAAAAAAGCACAGTGAATGCTTTTATCTGGTGTGACCCAGAGGATCTCATGATCGTTTCGGTTTCTCTTTGACACTGGGTTGCATGAGTGATAGGGTGTATCTGTTTGTCCATATCAGGGATGTACATAAGTAATTGAGCCGTCAAGTACTCCTCCTACACCTAATACTTTGCTAGTACAAATACTATTTAGACGGTGCAAATTGATTTACCCTTTCCAACTTAATTTTAAGTATTCTTTTAATTATACCAAAATCTTATTGTTTTAATGAATGCATATTCTTCATTAAGTTTTGTGAAAAAGCATTGAGGTTTTGATGCCAAAACCATATCATTTTTAAATTGTTTTGGGTGATGTTTGTGAATAAAACAAAATATAAGATTCACTTGAAAACTTAATTTAAAATGTTTTTTTTTTAATGTAAACCCGACTGTTCAAAAATGGTCACACCTAGCCAGTTCGCGGTCTAAAAATGCCAGTAGGTGGCAGCAAGTCACTGTCTCAGTGAGTGAGTCATCGAGTAGTTTATTCAGCAGATTCATTCAAATGGCTGAATCATTGAGAAACTAAGGAAATTACTGTCTTTATGAAAGGATCATTGATTCGTTAAAAAATGCTTATTACTTGGAGACAGACAATGGTTGTTGCGACCATTAGTCGTTTGTATGTTAGGAACTATTTTCATTGGTGAAATTCTGTGCCTAAAATTGTCACTTTCTCGTGTCCACTGGTAAGAAATACACCCCCGACAAAATTTTCTCTGGACCCACCACAAAAAGTAACAAATAAATGAAATAAATATAACAGGCCTAGTCATAGTCTTCGTTGTTTTTGACCCATAACCTTAATAAATAAGGTTGTGACACCAAAAACTACAAGCCCTAACTCAAATGTCATATAGCCTATTGTTAAAGACAAGTAAACTGTCAGTAATAAATAAGATAAAAAATAATCAAATTACGAGCAATAGCACAAATACAATAGAACAAACATAAATAAAATAAACACTTCATGTTTTTCAGGAACACTAATTTTCAGGTAGAGAAAATGAATAATTAAATGTAAAACAGCACTGCATAGTCTTCACTGTATAAATTAAATATAGATTAATCCTTATTAAAGTTACAAAAGTTATTTATTCAAGAGCAGTGAGGGATTTTAATTCTGTGTCCTTTGTTGTTTGATTAACATTAAAACCAAGACAGCAGCAGGCCCTTTAAGAGCAGCACAGATCCAATATACTGTTACACATCACGTTTTATTTCTCAACTGTTTATGTTTACTTAAGATATAACACTGTTTCTAGAATACTTGCTGAGATAAGCATTTTTTAATGTAATTTTGTGTGAATGTGTCCGTTCAAGCGCAAGATGATGTGAAAGAGAGCTCAATTCAGCATTCACACACTATCTGAGAAGCGGCTTTCTGGGCACGCACTTCGGATGTGTATGCACACAAAACTTGTCACACTATTTAATTAAGTTCTCTTTTGAGTCCTCTTGCGCTTGAATATTAAATTGGCAAGGCTTAAAAACATGTGAAATTAGTAAACTTTCGAGATGCAGCACTGGCTCAATCAGGCAAGTGACAGTTGCATTAACAGTCCTGAGCGACGTTTACGCTAACTGTCCCGAGTACTTTGCGCTGGCCCCCGGCCATCGGATAGTCCTTATTGTCGAGCCCTGCCCTCTGTTGAAATAAAAGAGGCAACTTCTATACACAAGGACTAAAATAAAACACATTTAATATGGATTAATATAAAATCTGGAATAAAAAAAAATCTATTTTAGAATTGTAAAAAATAAATAAATAAAAGTAAATCGATTTTTCCCCCAGCCCTATTAATGACAGACAACAGCAGGTTTATTAGGCTGCTGTCACTTTAAGAGTTGACGCATGACGCAGATCTGACACATCCTATTTTCTCACAACTTTACGTTCATTTAAAACTTCTTTAACTCATTTAAGACTGTGCATATGAGGACACTCAAAAAAAAAAAAAAGTGAATTTGACCATTTTGTGTTTTTGTCCATTCAAGTGCAAAATATAATTCAGCGCTGTCTGAAGCGGTATTCTGTGTGCGCATTTCGGGTGTTTGTTCACAGACAGTGCGCCAGCACAGGTTTGAGTTTTTTTTTTTTTTTCGTATTATGGCACTTGAATGAATGATACCGTGATCATATACTGTAGCCCAGACAAAGGATGACAGAAAAAACAGATGCCACGTTAATTGCATTACATATTTTTAACTGTTAAACTGAAAAAAAAAAGGTTTCTGTTTGTTTTTTTGCAAAGTGAGTGAATTTGTCATCTCCCACATAGTTAAAACAATTATAATATACCATCCTATAAACATCTACATTTTTTTTTTTTTACAGTATTAACAACTACAAAATCACTCAAATACCCATCTCTTGTCCATATCTACTCAAGACAATAATTCTCCATAGAAAAGCTAGTGCACTCAATGCTTATCTGATGTCACCTCATGACAGTCTACCAACTCCTTCCCATCTATCCATCTCACCCTGTCTTCCCCCATTCACTGTATCAACACTACGGTCCAAACAAATTAATTCCTCACAGACATCCATTAATGTCAGTACAAATGAGAAATACAAATGGGTGTGCTGGAACAGAATAGAGAGAGATCAGAAAAGAAAGAAAGAAAACATTTTTACAACTGATCAAACCATAGGGCATTGATGCTGTTGGGTGGAAATCAAGAGACAGAAAGAGTGGGAGAGATTGAGCTTGACAGTAAAAGGTGATTGCTTACCCTGCATGGTTTTGCCCAGGCCTTGACCCAACTTCCAGCCATGTTTCTGAAGGAGCCGGTGCCCAATGTTATCCTGATGTGAGGAAGAAAGGAAAGAAAGACCACAATATTCCAATAATAAGAAGCGCTTTCCTCACACACACACACACACACACACTCACACTGAGTCACAAGTACACATGATAGGCAGACAACTGTCAAAACATCCTCACTCACTGTCATCAACATTAGCAACATCTGCTACACCTTTAAACTCCTTGTCTGATGGGGAGCGGAAGGGAGAGAGAGGGAGATAGATAGAAAGAACAAGAGGAGGAAAAGTCATTGGGCTCTGTAACAAGGCATATATCTGAAGCCCTTACAGTCTTGTGTTTGTTGTGGAGGAGTAATTGAACCCAACTTCATTCTAAAACCTATAGTGTAAAATCTAAACTACAGCTTAACAGGGGCATTCCTCAAATGAACAACTAGTGGAGGTAACAGCTAAAAGCTAAGCTAAACCTCTGAGTTTACTAACTCACTTTCAGTGGAGGGAGGAACCTACGGTTATATATGTATCATGACACACAAATACATACATAAACCGTCTCAGGGAGAAAGATTAATGCACAAACAACTAAGGGGGAAGGAACGGCACAGACAGAGTTTGCATACACATACAAACCAAAAACTTTCACAAGCTTTTTGTGAGTTCATCATCATGACAACAGAGCCACCACAAAAAAACACAGTATGTAGCTGTAACGAGAGTGAAAGGTGGAGATCGAGGAGTGAGACAGTCAGAGAGGTAGATTTATGGAGAGACAAAAAAGAAAAGTAGAGAGGGAGGCCTCGGTTTACCATTGAGAGGCTTGATCTGCATGTGTGTGAGTGTGTTTGCATTTTATAGACTGATCTGATGCTTCATACAAAAAAAGAAAAAGAAAAAAGAAAAACAGAGGATACTCTGAAATACATGAAATGCAAGAATACAACACAACAAAAACATAAACAGCTTTAATCTGATCCAAGCAAAAAGTAATAAATGGATAATATATAAAAAATATGAACACTGAAATATATATATATATATATTTTTATCTACAAACACACACACACCACAAATAAAGGCCAATATGAACAAAAATAAATAAATAACGAGGTGAAAAACCAAAACCATTAACCAGCATGCAGCTTTTTGTTAAACCACTTTAACAAAAAGAGACGGCGGTGTTAGTCGTGTCTATATAGTAGTAAGCATATTCAGGGAGGGAGAGGGCAGTAGAGAACTCATGAAGTTGTTAGAGATGAGGGCGAGCATATTACAGTGGTGATGCATAAGGCAATCTAAACAATGTCAAAACCTACATAGAGTGAGCATAAGATGGAGCAGCCATGAGTGGTGTGTGAGAGGCAAGGAGTGGAGCAAGTACAAGGTTAGAGCATTATGGGTAGGGAGGGAGAGGTTACCCCCACAAGACACACCCACTTACCATTAGCGCTGCCAATTGTTTGCCACGCCCACGCAATAGTTTGGCCAATTTGGATACTGAACGCTGAACTGACAGCCCTAAATATCCATTTTATAAATATAAAGCCATCAGTCTTACAGTCTGTTATTAGAGATCCGTGAGGCTTGTTTTTAATAGTGCTTCAAAATAGCTACTCCATTTCTTTTCCTTGCTTTGGTGTTAAGACTGCTACTGGGATTTGATCATATTTTTCCATTTATTTAATGGGGTTATTGCAACAGGTCTCCTGAGATGTCCCTAACTCTTTTAAGAGTTGTGTTAAGATTGAAATGAGATAACTTGTGGTTAATTTGAGAAGACCATTTACTCAATTAATTTCACTTTATGAAATTAAACAAGGTAGAAAAAACTAGCTGTTACATAGACTTTTTTTTTTTTTTTTTTTTTTTTACAGATATTCAAACTTTTCTACTTTCTCAACAGGTCTCTAAAGAATTTTTTTGAAAGTCTCTTATAGTCACCAAGGCTGCATTTATTTGATCAAAAATACAGTAAAAAATAATATTGTGAAATATTACAATTTATTCTTTCTGTGATGGCAAAGCTGAATTTTTAGCAGCCATTACTCCAGTCTTGATTTTCAAAAATAAATAGATCACAATATGATATATAATATAATTTCTTACTAGGGCTAGGACCAAAACTTCATTTCAGATGCTGTGCAAAAAGATTGGTTATGCTGTCTCATTGCGTCCCATTAATTTTATTCAGTAAATGTTTCTCCCACAGTTTATGCTCATGTTTTCTTCTTGGATTAAAAAAACTGATCTGCCTCAATTGAGCGCATACCATTTTTAAGAATTTGTGAATGATTTTTTATGTGATATCCCAAAATGCGCATAAAAATAGGTGGATGAAAATATAGCTATTGTTAATATATATATATATATATATATATATATATATAATAAGTCATTTTAAAGGTTTAGGACTTTGCTTAGTTCTATTTTTATTACCACAAAGAAATATTCGATCACTCGATTAATCGTCAAAACAATCGACTCGTTTACCAAAATAATCATTAGTGTCAATAATAATCAAGCCCTACTCAAAACTATAGTAATATTATTGTTATTCAAAATTGTATTATTTATTGTGTTATCATATCCATACAAAAACAATCGATATCTTATCGGCCTTACAAAATGAATATTGGTCGCACTATCCTTTTATACATCTTATTATAATATTCCATACAGAATAATAGTGTTCAATCTTCAGTTCATTTATATCTCAGCTTGGAGAGTGTGTTAGTTCATACCTGCAATGTGTGTGTGTGGCGACAGAATATGGAAATGTTTTCTCCAGATGGTCTTGCATGGGGAGCTGCACTAATACTGATCTTGTATAAAAAAAAAACTTTGTGCCTCTGGACATCCAAAGAGTTATGTGCATTTTCTTCCGTTCAAATTACAGAGATGAAAAAAGGAACAAGACCGTGGGATAACGATCATTTCCTTTTCTGTATTTATAGTCAGCAGAGGAGGCCACAGAACGCACATTAAAACCAGCATAAGGCCAATTACAGCTCGCATGTACCTCTAAAGAAATGATGGCAGAACAGAATTCATCATAAGACACATGAGCTCATTGCGTACAGATGAAGAAAGACCACAGGATCATAAGGAATTAAGTGCAGGTCCCAGGATTTTTCATTTATCAGCAGTGCAGATGCGCCTGCAGTAAGCCCAACCCAAAAGGCCTGCAATGCAGTGGCTCTGCATCATCCTCTGCTAACAACACACAGCATTTCATCATTCTGAAGACTGGAGGAGAATCTAAACAGGGTGCGCATTGAGCTGACCTCACATTACCTCTTCCTGCTGAGTGGAGCACTTTACATAGCAAATGTGAACTCCTCTTTCCCAAACAGGACACTATTAGATCAAGAGAATAGAACTTGGGGAAGAAAGCTGTCTTTGCCTAGTTTAATTCTTCATATAAGCCAATCAGAATCAGTTGAATGTGGCCCAGGGCCAATCACCGGCCCCGTGGATGGCGTGTCAGGCAGACGTGGGAAGCGGGTGGGTTTTGTGGGGACAAACGGATGAATGCACTAAAATAAAACAGACAGATGAAGAGCAACAACGCCGAAGAATCCAACAGCAGTGCAAGTGGAGTGAAAACATGTCCATACGAACCTGGCTTTTAAACCCTGGGCTGTCAAAAGAACAGTCAAACGTCACACAAACTGAAGAAACTGGCCAATCTCTACAGCTTTCTACTGGTCACACTGTCTCTTTGATCCACTACATTACCACAGTGAATTCACACATCTACACATCCACTAACTGGCAGTTAATTCATATATATAATTAAAAAATAACAACAAAATCTTATATTGTCCAAACATATACACTCCCACAAGAAAAGAGTGATAGAGAGTGATGTTATCAACATAGTAATAGCAGGGAGTGAGAAAGGGGGGGGGAAGGTGGGGTTAAATTAAAACCAAACAGAGACGTGCAGGGCAGCGAGTGGTTTAACAGTGTGTTTAGGGCTTTGATAACTTCATTAAGACTGATTTAAAAATTGAGAATGAGCTACACTAAATTTGACGTTTTATACTGCAATACTGAAGCGTGGAAAATTCACAGTACCGTAGTTAAAAAAACATAAATAAACGGACCTCTTTCTTTTTTTCGAATCTTTGTCCATGAAAAATGTAAATACGAAAATAGAAAGGCCTATTATGTTGATACACTTTGAGAATAAAAAAACATCTTAAAGTGACTAGGAATTGATGGTCTCAGAGACCAATGGAAATGTAAAAATCAAAGCACTATAAGGCTGTGACACACCAAGCAGAAGGTCAGCCATCAGTGCAAGTCTGTTGGGCTAGTTTTCACAGTATGTTCTACACGTCGGGGGGAGTTCACCCAATTCAGCAGGTTGAATTGGCAGTCGGCAAAAAATATTGCTTTGAATGGCTGTTCAGTTTAGCGAACGAGTCAGTGCATGAGAATAAAAGCGAAAGTGATGAAAGCGAGCAAAGAAGTCAAGACAGCAGAGAGAGAAGGCTGTTCTAATTTTACATCATCTTACCTGGGCATTCCAATACGCAAATAATTTGATAACAACATGAGCTGCCTGGAATGAAGAAAGTGAGCAGATTGATATTCAAAATAGTAAGCAAGCGCTGGTTTGTTTAGGGTTTGTATATGTGTAATGAGTCCTAATTTCAGTTTCCCTTTTTGAATGACGAATATAGACTATTGATACTAGCTGAGCTGATATAGACAGTTATTTTCATACGTGCAGGTGCAGAACACATGCTAATTGCCAGTCGCCTCTAGTCCTTTTGCTGCCGCTAGTTCTTTGACGTCGGCTTGGTGTGTCACGGCCTTAAGAGCCAGTAATTGGTGGCCAATGATGAAACCATTTTATGAGGTGACAGTGTTCCTGCTGACCTTCATGCTCTAAAGCGTCTGACATTTTGGTGTCCAGGGGACCTTGACAGCTGGTGTTGAGTCATTGTGCTTATAGAAGAGATGGAGAGAAATCTAACACATTCTCTTCCTTACTGCCAGAGAATGTAAACTACTCAGGTCCAAATGGGAGGACAGCAGGGAGGCTTTTTAATGTCACAGTTTTATTATGCGCAGTGGCCACAATTGCATTTAGCCACACTTATTGTCTGAATGTAAACATCAAGCAAAACATCAAACCAAGAGGCATCTGAAAACAGTGATGCTAGAGGCATTTTATAATTACTTTTAATGAACAACTCGTCTGCAGTATATCTCTGTATAAATTAAATCCCAACTAACCTTTGTTCCTTAATTCATTCCACTTGGGTTGATATTTTGCCCTTTAATGCAATGACATTAAGTATGGCTAAAGTGTCTAAACACTTTTTGGTGCCACTGAGTTCCTGGAAAGTCGTGGTCTTCAGTATTTAATCTCTGAACTTTACAATAATAAAGAAGAAAAGGAGAAGACCGTGATGATGGAAAAGACACCTCAGCTATAG